GGGGGAGCGGTAGGTCCCAGGCTTGCCGCTTTAAAAAAAGCAGATCAGCTGCTTTTGCCAAGTCATTGGGTTCATTTCAGTTTTTGCCCATCCCCCGCACCTCTAGACTCTGATTGGCCCCTGGGGAAGTAGCAGTCTCCTCATTGGTCTCCACCTTTGAAATCTCTTCCCTAAGTAGGCCTGAGTCAGTGAAGAGCTTTGGAGGGCGGGACGGAATGCGGGGTTAATCACAGGATGGGGCTGCTGACCAGTAGCACTTTGGTACGGCCCTTCCCCAATTTCTAACCAGAAGCCTTACCTCTACTCTAAGGTGAAGACTGTGCTATGAGTCTTTCGTTAGGAAGCTACTTGTTGAGAGGCTCTGGGGTTCTTCTGCGACTTGGACGAGATATCTACAAGAAAAGGGTCCTCTGGTTAGGAAGAGCCCCCAGGAAGGAGTGAAATAGATCTCTCCAGTGAAAGCTGGGGCTGGGAGAGGTGAGCAATCCTCTCTCCCCACAAAGCCTCAGGAGTTCTCCAACGCAAGAGTCTCTGCTCCGTTGGGGGATGATTTCCACCTTCAGTTCTGCCCACTTCTGCTCCTTCGCCTGTCCCACCTTTCCTTAGAAAGCTATAACCTCCTGCAGAGGCTAGCAAATCAGTTTGGGGGTTGTCTAAAAGAAGCACTCACAGCTCCAAAAAGGAGGGGCTGTAGCCCTTTAAGGACTTCACGGGGATGGATTCAGAGATGAGTTTAAAAATGCCAACTCACAGAGCGCTCTGGATTCTGGGAACGAGCGTGTCAGACCAAGAACTACATTAACCAGTATGCATTGCAAACACACACGCCTTTACTTTCTTCTGCTCTTTAGGACTCGTTTGACGTAGCGCTTTTCCAAGCAAGTCGCTTACGCGTAGGACTGGGCCACGCCTTTTCATCTATTGGTCAGCCGGTGAGTTGGTGGGTGTGGCTTAGCGCGATTCCGCCAGGCGAAGGGATGGCCTCCTTGTCAATCAGAACCGAGACGCCCGGAGAGGCGGGACCAGGGCGAGGTGCTGGCGCCCCCGAGTGGGTGTGGTCACGCTGCCCAGCAGTGGGCGGTGATTGGCCCTGGGCAGTGCAATCGCAGCTTGTGCGTCACGACGCCGCCAGCTGATCGGAGACTGGAGCCGGTGTGTGCTGGGCGCTAGGAAGAGACAGCGCCGCCGGCCGTGGGGAGCGGACGCAGTGATTTACTCCCCTCCCCTCAGCAACCCCCACACCCAGCACCAGGTGGGTGTGAGCTGGCGACCTGGTCACACGGGCGAGGGGCCGTAGTAACGGGTGCGGGGCGAAAGTAGGGTCCTGGTGGCCACACCCTGCCCTTCCGGGGAGAAGAGAGGGGG